TTTTTGTTTTTTTTTTTTGTTTTTTTTTTTAGTTCTTTATTTAGTGAAAGGCATGGGTTGACAGTTTTCAGTGTCAGAGAAGCTCAGAGAAACAGTCAGAGATCAACTTGTACAACTGATACAGAAGAGTCATGAGGTCAGTGACCCCCTATATTAAATACGTAGCTTATTTGATTTTTATATTTTGTTTTTGCATGTATAGCACACGATTAGTGCAGGTGAAACTCCTAATCTCTTATCTTTTTGCAGTTGCTGACCAGTTATCTATATTTATACACAGATGAGTATAAGACCCCTTTCAGATGGGGCAGACGCGTCAGCGGATCTACTTTCTCATCGGGGGATCTCTCCTCTGAACACGACTAAGCAAGCAGATGACAGGTCTGTGTCTGCTCTGCTGATGCAGAGTGGACACAGATACAGCCTGCTGTTTTCTATGGGGCGGTCGGATGGAATCCGACCACCTGTCTGTTTCCATCTGACTGTCATCCAATCCGATCTGTCAGATGGATGGTGAATTGATCTCCATCCGTCTGTTTTTAGTGTACAGGATCGGATTGGATGACAGTGGGTATCAGCTAACACATGTCTGCTGATACCCCCCCCCCCCACTCCATAGAGAGCTGTGGATGGTCCGATCGGGTCTGCCTGAAAAATTGACAGGTGAACCCAATCGGACCATCAGTGTGAAATGGGCCTTAGGCATTGGAGGGTTGCTAGCGAGGAGGGGGTTAATTAAAGTATAATATAAAAGTATAGTTATCCTTTTAATGTTGAACTCTTTAAAATTGCTTACAGTATAACTGTATAAAAAATATAGACAACGGGAAGCGAAATGCCAGTATTTAGGTTGACTTACATTGATTCAAGGGAGGAATTACTGACCTACAGTAAGTGCTTCTTTAACAGACGAAGTGGTAGGAGTTTCTTCATATGTTCATATTGGTGACAGGTGCTATATTTTGGCCATTTTTTGCTCTTTTTTTTGGAGTACACTGGTTTAAAAATTTTGAGATAAAAACACTTCTTACTGATGGTTCTACGAAATATTGAATGGATAGTTGTAACTTACTGCTGGCTTAATCAGTATTGGATGGATAGCTGAAATCTAACAATAGGACAGCAGCCTGTATGTAGTTGTCACATTTCCTATCTGGATAGAACAGACACATGTCCTTTATACAACTGAAACGCAGGCTTCTTATCCGGTGGCACTGTCATTCGCTCTGCATTAGCCATGCATCAATCTGCGTTCATTGATATGCAGAGCACAGATCCAGTTTAAATAATAGCTTTCTATGGCTGAAATCCGATTTGCTGAGTTGGTTTCTTTTCTAAGGAGTGTACGGTCTGTATTTTAAAAAAGTGATATGGTAAACCAAGAAGATGTTTGCAATGTGGTCCCCACTGTATGTCTTTTTTTTTTTTTTTGCCTTGAATGTGTCTTGTAAGCTTTAGGCTACCTTTACATTTGATTTGAGCTTCTTCAAGCATCTTGGGAATGTTCTTTATCTCTGTTTGTACATGTGGTTTTAAGGCATTTTCAAGCTTGATCATTTTTGTTTCAACCAGTGGAAAAAGGCAAGAAATTGAGTGGAAAATGAGCATTTCCAGGCGGTTTTCAGGTGCGCCCAATGAAGTCTATATGTAAGGGTTTCTCAGCCAGGGTTCCTCCAGGGGTTGCTAGGGGTTTTTTCAGCAATGAGCTATTTCTGCTTCTCTGATAAGTTCTCACTGATCTTTTGAGCTATCTGTAATGCAGGCCATAGATGGGTCAAAAATCGGCCGATTTTTCGGCCGAAAATAAAGTCTGCTGATTTTCAGTTAGTGGGTTAATAGGTCGGCCGTTTTTCGGTATTTTGGAAGATTTTTTTTATCGGTAAAGTTGTAAAAAGATCAGCCGATTTTTGCGGCAATTATGGGCAAATCGGCCGACCTTTTTACCGATAAAAAATCTGCGCATGAGCCGTGACCTGCAAGAGGAAGACAAAAAGAAGAAGAGGATGAAGAAGAGAATGAAGAAGAGAATGAAGAAGAAGAAGAGGATGAAGAAGAGAATGAAGAGGATGAAGAAGAAGAAGAAGAGGATGAAGAAGAGTAGGGGATGAAGAAGAGAAGGGGATGAAGAAGAGAGGGGATGAAGAAGATGAAGAAGAAGAAGAGGATGAAGAAGAAGAGGATGAAGAAGAAGAAGAGAAGAGATGAAGAAGAAGAGGATGAAAATGAAGAAGATGAAAATGAAGAAGAAGAGGATGAAGAAGAAGATGATGAAGAAGAAGAGGAAGAAGAAGAGGATGAAGAAGAAGAAGAGGATGATGATGAAGAGGATGAAGAAGAAGAATTCCAGTCCAGCAAAAAGTGTCTCTGCAGAGAGCTCCGCTATTTCTTTGACAGTTCTTTGACATTTATAGCGGCTGCAACAATGTATCTGTTTGCTTTCGAATAAAAACATCTGTATCCGAAATGGATACAAATAGATACAATGTTGCAGCTGCTATAAATATCAAAGAACTGTCAAAGAAATAGCGGAGCTCTCTGCAGAGACACTTTTTGCCGGCTGTAGACAGGATGAAATTTGGCCGATTTTTTTTTTTTTTTTCTTTTAATGTTCCTGGTAACGTCGGCCGCTTGAACGACCGATTTTTTTCATTTTTTTAAAGAAAAATCGGCCGGTTTTCTCCCCATCTATGGCCTGCATAAGGGGATAATTCTTCCCAACAACCAACAAGTGTAAGGAGCATTCTTTCCACTGACCATCACACAAATGTAACATGTGTTTTAGATATACAATCGACATTTTTAGCAGGAGTTTCCTGAGATCGGAAAGTTATTTGAAGGGTTCCTCTGTATTGAAAAGGTTGAGAGAGGCTGCTATAGGGACTAAAAACACAGGACTCTGCTCAAACTAAGCTCATATAGTTTTTCAAGTTTCGAGTAACAAGCTTCAAGTGTCATAACGCTCAGGTGTGAACATGCAAGATAGGTTAGTATGGGCATCTTTATGTAAAGCCCTGAACTGCTTCTGAAAATGCACTTCAAACTGCACAGGTGTGAACCAGAGATTTTCTGCCATATCTGTTTTATGTCAATAAATGGGTAGATGGCTCAAAAGAAAATTCTATAGGGCTCTTTGACATGGGCGGGGTGGCTTAGCCTCAGTTCTACTGCCACCCGGCCGTCCACTTGAATCCTAGCAATACAGCTGGACAGTGCTGTACACACACCATGGCATTTTTAACTTCAGTTGCAAAATTTGATAAGCGGTACCTTCTGCCCATTGAGTTCAGTTTGGCCGCTCTGCAGTCATGAACCAAAGCTTGGCTTGCAGTTGTGTCACGGTCCTATATTATAAAGTTGCCATTCTGCCATTTAAAAAAAAGTAAACAAGAAAAAAAAAAACAGATGTCAGGAGGTGGCAGTAGTGACTCCCAAACACCTAATGAATAAAAAAAATCAGTGTACCCACAAAATCTCTATGTAATTATATAAAATTAAATAAACACCCTTTTTCACACACGCACGCACAAAAAGTCACACTTTCTCCCCAGAAAGTCCAAAGTCAAGAAAACCTCCTCAGCATCTGTGAATCTTCAAAATATCATATTTCCACTTGATCCATCTCCAAATTTAACTTTTTAGTGTCCATGTGTATCTCAAAAAATAAATACACAATGTGTATTTGTGTTCAAAATTTGTAAAAATCACCCAGTGTCCACTAAATGTGGCAGAATTGAATACTCTTACCCTAAAAATACTTTATATAGCTTTACATCCCATTCCTCATAAGAATCCACTCAAGGCTGATCCTACGGATATCATCATCCTCATAACGAATACCTCCGAAGAAAAACATATCATAGTGTAGTATCCTTTGGACATGTGATAAGTGTCCCCCTCTTCAAAACCACTAGTGAAACAAAAAAGCACTCTCCACCACCTTCCAAACCATGCACCTTACCGAACTACAAATATCTAATAGCATACATAGAAATGAATGAGAAATGGCTTCTCTTAACCACTTCCTGTCCGGACACTTTTTACCCCCTTCCTGTCCAGGGCAATTTTCAGCTTTCAGCGCTATCACACTTTGAATGACAATTGCGCGGTCATGCAATACTGTACCCATATGAATTTTTTACCATTTTTTTGAGACAGATAAAGCTTTATTTTGGTGGTATTTATTCACCGCTGGGATTTTTATTTTTTTTACTATGTAAATGAAAAAGTCCAAAAATTTTGAAAAAAAGTTTTTTTTTTATAAAATTTTGCAAATAAATAATATTTCATCCTAAATCTTGGCCAAAATTTATTCCGTTATTTTTTTTAGTAAAAAAAAAAAATCCAAATTAGTTTTATAACCAAACATTATAATTTTTAAACATTTTTTTTTACATTTTTATTTTATTTTTTTTTATATTATTTTTTATTTTTATTTTTTATTTTTACATACTGTCACCCTAGCAGTACAGTGTCACCATGGTGACACTGTACTACTTGTGGGAGGTGATGAAGATTTTTTTTTTTTTTTTTTTACACTGATTGCTTTTACACCCATATAGGATGTAAAAGCAATCATTTCTCTTTCTCTCTGTCTGCATTCTTGCAGTCATTGAGAAATACTGAGTGAGCTGTGATTGGTCACAGCTTGTCACATGGTACAAGGCTGTTGTGAATAGCCTTGTACCATGTGACCTCTGTGATCATTCACAGATTTCACACGTAGTAAGCAATGATGTCACAAGTGACATCTTGCTTACTACTTTGCATGTGATCACTGATTCGCCAATCAGTGATCACATGACCGGGACCTCGTACAGAGGTCCCGTCCGAAGATCGGTGTTTCACTGTGTCCGGAGGACACAGCGGACACCGGATTGCGGTGGTGCGCGCTCCTAGGGAGCGCGCACAGCTAGAAAAGGCGGGTGCCGTTTAGGAACGGCAACCCGACCTTGGACTGCCACCGCCCTGCCGTTTATAAACAGCAGGCGGACGGCAAGAGGTTAAGCACTTCCTGTCCAGCACATGTACATAAACGGCCGGACGGGAGCAGTGCAGGGGCGGGTGGCCGTTTATAAACGTCCTCCCTGCTTGTGTGCGAGCTCCCTGGTAGCGCGCAGCACCACGATCCGGTGCCCACTGTGTCCGGAGGACACAGCGGAACACCAATCGTACAGGACCTCTGTGTGAGGTCCCGATCATGTGATCACTGATTGGCCAATCCGTGATCACATGAAGAGTATTAAGCAAGATGTCACTTCTGACATCATTGCTTTCTACGTGTGAAATCTGTGAATTAGCACAGAGATCACATGGTACAAGACTATTCACAACAGCCTTGTACCATGTGACAAGCTGTGACCAATCACAGCTCACACAATATTTCTCAATGGCTGCAAGAATGCAGCCAGAGAGAAGGAGAAATTATTGCTTTTACAGCCTTTATGGGTGTAAAAGCAATCAGTTGAAAAAAAAAAATCTTCATCACCCCCCACAAGTAGTACAGTGTCACTAGGGTGACAGTATGTTAAAAAAAAAAAACCCCATAAATAATAATATTAAAAAAAAATAATATTGGAAAAACAAATTTAAAAAAATTGTAATTTTTGTTTATAAACTAATTTGGGTTATTTTTCTTTTACTAAAAAGATAACCGAATACATTTTGGCCAAGATTTATGAAGAAAGATTATTTATTTGCAAAAAAATAAAATAAAAACACTTTTTTTCAAAATTTTTGGACTTATTCATTTATATAGCAAAAAAAAAATAAAAATCCCAGTGATGAATAATTACCACCAAAATAAAGTTTTATCTGTCTCAAAAAAATGCTAAAAAATTCATATGGGTACAGTGTTGCATGACCGCGCAATTGTCATTCAAAGTGTGATAGCGCTGAAAATTGGCCTGGGCAGGAAGGGGGGGTGACAGTGTCCGGACTTGAAGTGGTAATAGTTGATTGCTTTTAAAGCTTTTATGGGTGTAAAAGCAATCAGTGGAAAAAAAAAAATGTTTTATCACCCCCACAAGTAGTACAGTGTCACTATGGTGACACTGTACTCCTAGGGTGACAGTATGTAAAAAAAAAAAAAAATATATATAAAAAAATAGAATAAAATAAAAATGTAAAGAAGAAATTTTTGAAAAATTATAATTTTTGGTTATAAACTAATTTGGGTTATTTTTTTTGTTTACTAAAAAGATAACTGAATACGCACAATTGTCATTCAAAGTGTGATGGCACTAAAAGCTGAAAACTGGCCTGGACAGGAAGGGGGTAAAAGTGTCTGGACTTGAAGTGGTTAATCCACACTGATCCATTCATTAAATACTTTGTTGAATTCTCCTGGTGGAGCATGGATGATAAATTTTGCTGCTACACGTACCTTCTCCTCATCAGACAGCTGTTCCTCCACCTAAACACCTGTCAGCTGCTTCTATACTACCCTCTGAAAAGCAATCCACTGCAGATCACTTTTCAGAGGGCAGTAAGCATTACCACAAATAACAAAGAGACTTTACTGATCTTTTGGAAGGCTGAACCACTCCTGTAGGCATGTTTTAACTTTGAACTAGATTCACACAGTTGCGATGGATGGTATTTGGTTAGTGGCTATATGAGTGTAAGGGGTGATGTAGAATGAGGCATACACCAGAGATATGACACGTCAGGCCTCTTTGTACTACCTCTTTTCTATAACCGTGTCAGCTGATGCTGAGTTTGCATTCTTGCTTTGGAGACCTGACATGACTACATTTGCATTTTCACATTGTGTTCAGCATATGAGAAAATATTTTCTAAAAACGGCTTCATTGCCTAGCAGTGCAACACAGTTTAGGACATTTGAATGTGGCTCTTTACTCTGCTGATTCATTTCTTGAGATTAGAGGGACATGGTTGGTATCACAGCACACAGTCATTTAATGTGATCGTGATATATCAGTGCTTGATATTTGTCGATGTAAACACTCCTCTTTGTAGTTTCCGGACCCCTGACTATTTGGTTTCTTTGTATTCGCTTCTTTTTAAGTTGTCACATGGGCGGGCCTCGGGGCACAGTACGATTGTACCAGTTGGAGTTTTACATCGAAAACCAAATAATAATGTGATCCTCACAGCATGCCTAATTAACCAAATGGAAGTGCTGCACGGATCCTGCAGATGGGAAAAATACAGTTGGAGAGTGCTTAGGTATAGTGCTTTGTGAGAATGAATATTTAAGAGGAAGCAAGCTGGTCCTGTTTGCTTTTAAAATTGTTATAAACATTTAAATACACAGAACTTAATGGATGCCAATCTACGGGAAAGAGTAAAGTATTATTTCGAATTTAAACAATATGTATAGCTAACATTTCCTATTCCTGATATGTGCCTTCTGTGCCATATACTTATTTGAACAAGTGTCCTTTTCTCTTTGTATTGCTTCCTTTGTGGGAAATTCCTGTGTTCCTGCCAGTCCCTTTGCTTTCCTATTAAAAACTGACCACACTAAGCAGCAGAACACATCGAGGTCCGTTATCTTGCTGTGCTGGGGACTCACTGTGCTGTCCTTCAATGGTCAGCCTTGTCCTGACACTTTTCACCCCTCCCTAGTCCCCCGTACAGCCATTCACTGGGATAATCATAATCATTGTGCTGCTGTTTCTCCTCCTCCAGCTCTTATGCAAATGAGATATGAGAGAATGTGATCACTTATAAAATAGGGAAAAAAAGTATTTCTAATGTTTTTTTTTATATCTATACACCAATGTTTTGCCTTTCATTTCTATTTTAAACTGAATGGACTGTTTTACAAGACAAGGGTTTACAATCACTTTAGAACAGAGCTCCAGTCGTTTTTGTAAAAATTACACTTACCTGTCCCCGGATCCAGTGCTGTGCTCAGCTGAGAGGTCAGCAGGGACCATGTTTGGTCCCTGGCACCCATCTGTGACAGCTTGCGGCTTCACACCTGGGTGCTAACTGCGCATGATCGAGCCGCACTGTGCCTTGATATTGGTCCTGCAGTATTCTGGGACCTATGCCATGTCCCCAAAGACTGCAGGGAGAGAGGGGTAAGGAGAACTTCAGCTTCAGGGTACCTGGTTTTGGCTCCCCCACCTCCCAAAAAAGATTGCCAAATGTAAAAAAGGAGGGGGGGGAGGCCTTAATGCAGAACTTCCCCTTTTGGGTGGAGTTCTGCTTTAACCCCTTGACGCTGAGCGCACGCAAATATGCGGCCTCTTGGCATCTGTGCCTTGATGTTGAGCGACCGCATATTTGCGTGCCATTAGAAAATACATATGTGCTGAGATCGCGCGCCCTGCATGCTCCCAGCACATATATCCGTGACTCACGGAAAGGTCCCGATCTCCCCTTGCGATCGGGACCTTTTCCGATCATGTGACGGCGAATCACGGCGGTCACTTGACCCTAAAACCCCGCCCACCTCCTGGCTTCTGAAACTCTTAAACGGCCGGGAGGCACCAGCGCGAAGAGGTTAAGGATTCAGATATATTGCAGGCACAACCGATGGGGACATAAATAGGAGATATCAATGCCCAAATTACCCTATAAAAGGGGTCATTCTCTAGGACTTGTACATATGGCACTGGGTGCTCAACCTTTTGAAGAGCGATGGCCACTTAAGTGATTTGGTAACTGGTCACAGGCCACAATGAAATTAAGTGTTTCAGAATTTCACAGTTTTTATTCTGAATAATATAATGAACATTTTCCTCCTGCAGCCGTTCTATGCTGGCGGGAAGGAAAGGAGCAGAAGCCGGATATCAGCTGTTGCAGGAGGAAAATGGAGATGCGCTGCATTTACCTGGGCTATGGGTACAGTGGAGTGCACCGGACGGTTTTCCTGGGGGTTAGCTGCGTTTTGCCATAGACTTTTATTATATCTTGCAGGTGTGGTGCACTTTTAGAAAGTGCACCTAACCCACAGAATATAATAGAAGTCTTTGGCTCAGTGCAACTAACCCCCAGGAAACCCGAAGATGCACTGCACTGCACCTGCGGATCAATGTGAAAGCAGCTTAACCACTTCCCGTCCATGTACATAAACGGCCGGACGGGAGCAGTGCAGGAGTGGATTGCCGTTCATAAACGGTGCCCACATTTTAAGGCTGTGCACACTCCCTCGGAGCACATGGCACCTTTGTGTGAGGTCCCGATCATGTAATCACTGATTGGCCAATCAGTGATTACATGAATAGTAGTAAGCAAGATGTCACTTGCTGACATCATTGCTTACTACTTGTGAAATCTATGAATGATCACAGAGGTCACATGGTACAAGGCTATTCACAACAGCCTTGTACCATGTGACAAAATGTGATCAATCACAGCTCTCACAGTATTTCTCAATGGCTGCAAGAATGCAGCCAGAGAGGAGAAATGATTGCTTTTACAGCCTTTATGGGTGTAAAAGCAATCAGTTGAAAAAAAAAAAAATCTTCATCACCCTCCACAAGTAGTACAGTGTCACTAGGGTGACAGTATGTTAAAAAAAGAAAACCCATAAATAATAATATAAAAAATAAAATAAAAATGTAAAAACAAATTTTGAAACATTATAATTTTTGGTTATATACTAATTTGGGTTATTTTTCTTTTACTAAACAGATAACCGAATACATTTTGGCCAAGATTTATGAAGAAAGATTATTTATTTGCAAAAAATAAAAGAAAAACACTTTTTTTCAAAATTTGGACTTATTCACTTATATAGCAAAAAAAAATAAAAATCCCAGTGATGAATAATTACCACCAAAATAAAGTTTTATCTGTCTCAAAAAAATGCAAAAAAATTCATATGGGTACAGTGTTGCATGACTGCGCAATTGTCATTCAAAGTGTGATAGCGCTGAAAATTGGCCTGGACAGGAAGGGGGTGAAAGTGTCTGGACTTGAAGTGGTAATAGTTGTTAACCATTTTAAAGGTATTAAACCGCGTACTGTATATCGTTTAATGCACTGGCCTTCTTTTCCTCTTCCAACTCCTGCTTGCATCGCTCTCCATCTACAGGCTGCTAGAAAGGTCCCAGGTGAAGTGCACTTGGTCGGTATCACTCCGCCTGGGACAAGAGTTGATGCTACAGAGGAAGCAATGGCTTATATGGCTCCTGCTCTCTCTGCAACCATATGCTTCCTCCACTGCCTGCACCAGCTCGATGCATTTTGATGCTCTGGGATGATGGGTCAGCAAGCCCAGATCGTGATCAACAGATTGCCAACAATGGGTATGTGCTTCCCTGGTTTGAGGTTAAAGTCCACATCAGGGAGTTCTGAGGGCCACAGGTTGAGCACCCCTGCTTTACACCATGACAGTGTGGGGGTTTTGCTGATTCCTAAAGGCCTCCGCAGGAAAGCCGACTATATGGTGTCATGCTAATACTGACTTAGTATTGGCAGTGTCCCCTCCACCAGTGAGATCTGTACCCCACCTCAGCCAGCTCCAGAATCTATGACACCATTGAGAGCTTTTGTGTCTTCTCTTACATGCAGGTTCTGATGCATCTGTATTACACACAATGATTCATACCTATGGCAGCATTTTATGCTTTTCTACTGTATTCATTTCCTTATGCCTTTCTGTTACGTGCAGTTTTACTTGTTTCTGTACACTGCATTGTATAGTGTATTTGTATTACACACAGTGACTCATACCTCCGTATAACACGCATTGTGTTATATCTCTATATTAGGAGCAGTGTCTCCTGCCTCAAAATGCTTCATACATATATATTACACTCAGTGTCTCATACCTCTATATTAGGTGCAGTGTCTCCTACCTCAAAATGCTTCATACAGTTGCAAGAAAAAGTATGTGAACCCCTTGGGATTACATGGAGTTTTGCACGAATTGGGCATAAAATGTGCTCTGAATGTCATCTAAGTCACAACAATAGAAGAACACAGTCTGCTGAACATAATACTACACAAACATTAGATGCTGCCATGGTTTAATTGCACATAACATGTAAACATTCACAGTGCAGGGAGGAAAAAGTATGTGAGGCCCTAGCTTAATGACTTCTCCCAGAGCTAATTGGAGCCAGGAGTGAGCCAACCTTGACTCCAATCAGTGTGATGATATTGGATGTGTTGCTGACAGCTGTCCTGCCCTTAAAAAACACACACCTGTTTTGGGTTTACTGGTTTCAAGAAGCACTGTCTGATGTGAACCATGCCTCGCAGAAAAGAGCTCTTAGAAGACCTACGATCAAGAATTGTTGACTTGCATGAAGCTGGAAAGGGTTACAAAAGTATCTCCAAAAGCCTTGATGTTCATGTGTCCACGGTAAGACAGACTGTCTACAAATGGAGAAAGTTTAGCACTGTTGCTACTCTCCCTAGGCGTGGTCGTCCTGTAAAAATGACTGCAAGAGCACAGCGCAGAACGCTGCATGAGGTAAAGAAGAATCCCAGAGTGTCAGCTAAAGACCTACAGAAATCTCTGGCACATGCTAACATTTTTGTTGACACATCTGCAATAAGGAAAACATTAAACAAGAATGGAGTACATGGGAGGACACCATGGAGGAAGCCATTGCTGTCCAAAAAGAATATTGCAGCACGTTTGAAGTTTGCAAAAGAGCACCTGGATGTTCCACAGCACTACTGGCAAAAAATATACTGTGGACAGATGAAACCAAGATTGAGTTGTTTGGGAAGAACACACAACACTATGTGTGGAGAAAAAAAGGCACAGCACACCAACATCAAAACCTCATCCCCACTGTAAAACATGGCGGAGGGAGCATCATGGTTTGGGGCTGCTTTGCTGCCTCGGGACCTGGACAGATTGTTGTCATTGATGGGAAAATGAATTCCAGAGTTAATCAAGACATTTTGCAGGAAACCATCTGTCCACCAACTGAAGCTCCGCAGAGGATGGGTGATGCAACAGGACAATGACCCAAAGCATACAAGTAATTCAACAAAACAATGGCTGCAACAGCACAGAATACGCCTTCTGGAGTGGCCCAGTCAGAGTCCTGACCTCAACCCGATTGAAATGCTGTGGCATGACCTTAAGAGAGCGATTCACACCAGACATCCCAAGAATATTGCTACACTGAAACAGTTTTGTGAAGAGGAGTGGTCCAAAATCACTCCAGATCGTTGTGCAGGTCTGATCTGCAACTACAGGAAACGTTTTGGTTGAGGTTATTGCTGCCAAAGGAGGGTCAACCAGTTATTATGTCCAAAGGTTCACATACTTTTTCCTCCCTGCACTGTGAATGTTTACATGTTATGTGCAATTAAACCATGGCAACATCTAATGTTTGTGTAGTATTATGTTCAGCAGACTGTGTTCTTCTATTGTTGTGACTTAGATGACGTTCAGAGCACATTTTATGCCCAATTCATGCAAAACTCCACGTAATCCCAAGGGGTTCACATACTTTTTCTTGCAACTGTACATATAAATTACACTCAGTGTTTCATACCTCTATATTACGTGCAGTGTCTCCTACCTCAAAATGCTTCATACATATAAATTACACTCCGTGTCTCATACCTCTATATTACGTGTAGTGTCTCATACCTCTATATTACGTGTAGTGTCTCATACCTCTATATTACGTGCAGTGCCTTATACCTCTATATTAGGTGCAGTGTCTTGTACCAAGGTAGAGGTATTATAAGGTTAATTAAAGTTCATATGGTAATTCTAAGGCTGCTTTCACACTCATCCGTATTTCTTCCGCTTTTGCAATGAAAAATGCGCAAGAAAAACGTGTAATACTATGGAATGCTTCACACTCACCTGTTGCGGGTCTGCTGCATTTAGTAAAATCCTGTTTTCTGTATTTTTGGTGAAGGTTTGGTGCGGTACAAAAACCACACCAAATACACACCTATGTTGCATTTTTGATGGTTTTTTGAGTTACATGTCCTGTGTAAAATGCATCACAAACGTGATAAAAAAAAGCAGCACATGAGTGTGAAAGCAGCCCTATACTATTATGCCCAGTGTATTGCTTCGCAATGACCTAAAGATCTCTTCTTTCCTTCTGCTGACACCATTCTGGAGACCGCTACCTGGGATAAGAGGTGAAGTGCAGCTGGTATCACTCCGCATGGGACAGGAGCCAGCACTACAGTGGAGGCATCGGCTTTTCCAGCTCTTGCTCCCTACTACAGCTCCAACTACACAAGTAGTCCCTCCGCATTGCACTTTGTTTGATGCTCTGAGATGGCGGGTCTGCAAGCCCAGATAGTGATTTACCAGTCACCTGGCCGCGGTCTACTGGTAGATCGCCATTTATGGGTTGCTGACCCCCCGCTTTAGGATATTCTATTCAAAATGAACGGATTGCCATTGCACCCTAACAAGCTTAACACGGTATTAAAACCAAAACCAAAAATGTATTATTCTGCAGCTTACCAATCATTAGATGTGGTGGCTGTATCAGTTTTCTCTTTGTAGGCCTTATTCCCTCTATTTTCACCTGGTGATCTGACTAGTAACACACCACCTGCATTAGCGAGACACCACTCTGGAGGAATGTTTACAGGACACAACAGACTGCAGCATTGTGAGCCTGGATGGAGGGGTAAGTTGGGAGTGTTAAATGTATTAGCAGATTTGAATACAATGACAAATTAAAGCCAAACTCCAGCTCACACTTTATAACCAGTTACAATAACCAGTTCCTTTTCCTTTTGGGATCAGGTTTTTACATGAATAATTGTCACCACTGCTAGTAGTAGATGGATTGTCTTATCCATGTAAACTGAAACAGTCTGCTGGAAAACTTGAGCTTCTGAAAATCAGGAGACTTGCTGGCTGAATCACCAGATGAAAATAGAAGAAAGAAAGCCTAAAAAAGGAAACTAAAACAGCTATCACATCTAAGAATTGGTAAGCGTTGCAATGTTTGCTTTTGTGTTTAATACCCCTTTAAAAATCGCACCCTTCTTTTGTAACACAATGCATGGCAACACACTCCTATTCATTGATGTATGTTGCAGTGCACTACAAGTCAGGTGTGTTGATTTAGTGCATTAAGATGCCATTGGAAAGGAATGGCACCACAACGCAGCAAGACGTGTTATATGCATTACTGCTTGTTGCAGTAATGTGTGTTGCAGCAATGCGAAAGTGTGACCATTTGGGGAGTACAAAATTATTTTAGAGAAACTTCATGTAATTCATGTATACAGTGTGCTATGATTGTGGTTTCCAAACTGCAGCCCAGGGGCCAGATGTGGCCCTTTCCTTGCTTTTATCCAACCCTTGGGCCATTATTCTCCCTACTGTCAGCAACATTGGGGCATAGTTCTTGACACTGACAACAGGGCACTATTCCG